GATGGGCTACACACCCAAGAAGTTTTGAAAGCTCATTCAAGAGTTCTAAAACAAAAATAAGAATGCTGGTTTAAAAAATTTAAAAAAAATCAAAACAACAGCAAAAGCAACACCACCACCATACCCACGGATTCCCCTGCACTCCATCAAAAACAGTCCCACTACTTAGAAGATAGAGTTCTGGCCAGGCACGGTAGCACACATCTGTAACCCCAGCACTTGGGAGGCTGAGGCAGGAGGGTCACTGTGAGCTCGAGACCAGCCTGGGCTACAAAGTGAGCTGGACGCCAGCCTGAACTGCACAGCAAGACCCTGTCTCAAAAAGACAAAAGAAAAGAGAGTTCTTCTTAGGAATGACCCAAGACTGGTGACAATGAAGAGTTTTAAGACATACTCACGGTTTCCTCCGGTATCGACAGCTTCGCTTAAGTCGAAGTCACCCCCTAAAATGGAAAAAGGTGATCAACACCCAACTTTTGAGGGAAAAAAAATGAGAAGGAAATGGCGTTGCCGACCAACCCTCCACCCTGAAGTCCTCTCTGAACGTGGTCTGCCCAGCGTCCCGGTAGAAAACCCAAATTGGTGACCATTTTTTATGTCATCTTTCTCTCCCGTGAAAGGAGAAAGAGACCAAAAACAAGAACACTTGTGAATCGGTGCTTTTCAGCAAGCTGGAGATAGGTATAATTCCGTCACCGTGCCACGCAGAAATTCTTCAAGGGGCATCCCAGGAGGTGCGGCAGAAAAATTACTATAATGAGAGCTGGCTAGGCTGCACCAAAACGAGCCGATTATAAATCCGCCCAGCAGGAGGTGCTGTGCTACTACTCTGAGCCGCACCAGAACCACACAGCTTTCTCCAAAAAACCTTGGAGAGCATGAATTTGGTTTTGCAGCGATTATTTATCAAGGGCCGTCTGCACAAGTGGGTCACCACTCAGAGATATTGGGGTTCACCATCCTTACGACCTCGAGAGGAACTATCAGTAGGAGAGCCTCATAATTAACCAGCGCCATTAATATTTTAAACAACGAGGCCGGGCGTGGGGGCGCACTCCTGTAATCCCAGCACTCGGGAGGCTGAGGCAGGAGGATCCTTGTGAGTTCGAGACCAGCCTGGGCTACAAAGTGAGCTCAGGGCCAGCCCAAACTGCAGAGCATGACCCTATATAT